AGAAGCAGGAATTTATTTATAATCATTTTGTGCAGCTTTCAGGGCGGGGCTATGGGGGACACAGCAACTCCTTCAAGCTGTGTCGCCCAAGGTCACCACGGAGATGAACTCTGATCTTGTTCGGGAATTTACTCCGGAGGAAGTGAAATGTGCTTTGGAAGCAATTGGGGATTTAAAAGCTCCAGGCCCCGATGGAATGCCAGCTGTTTTTTATAAACAGTTTTGGGACACGGAGTCTGGTTTGTTGTGAAAGAAAAACACTGTTAACTGACTGATAAGCCATGGCTGAAACCGACGAGCGAACGGGCTGATAAAGTCGGTCCTCAAGTGACAAAGGAGGTATTGGGGGTGCTGAACGGTGAAGCTATGCCGGAACGTTGGAACGACACAACTATTGCTTTGATCCTGAAGGTACACTGTCCAGAAAAGGTGACTGATGTACGCCCAATAAGTTTTTGTAATGTTGTCTATGTAAAGTTCTTGCAAATAGGCTGAAAGCTATCCTACCTGATATTATTACACCCGGTCAGAGTGCTTTTGTACCGGGGCGCCTTATATTAGATAATATATTAATTGCTTATGAGCTGACGCATTATATGTTGAATAAAAGAAAGGGAAAGGAAGGATATAAAGCTATCAAGCTTGACATGAGTATCATCGGGTTGAGTGGAATTTCCTGGCTGAGATGATGAAGAAGTTGGGATTTTGTGAGCAATGGTTGCAGTTAATTATGAAGTGTGTTTCAACAGTCACTTACCGAATTAAGGTGAATGGAGCACTTTCAGAAGCTTTCAATCCGGAAAAAGGACTCCGCCAGGGGGATCCGCTGTCTCCCTACCTCTTTCTATTGTGTGCTGAGGGGTTCTCAGCCTTGCTAAACAAGATCGAAGAAGATGGTCTGATTTCGGGAATTAAAATCTGCAGGGATGCACCTAGTATCTCTCACTTACTTTTCGCCAATGATTCTTTGATTTTGATTCGCGTGAAAGGGGAGGATGCTAGCCAACTCCGAAATATTTTGGAACTGTACGAGCAGTGCTCCGGGCAGATGATCAACAAGTCGAAGGCCCGTTCGTTTCGCTGAAAAAACAAACCGATACATTATTCCGGCTGATTTGTTGTGAGAGAAAAACATTGTTTCGGCTAAAAAACCAAGCTGAAAAAGACGGATTATAAGAGAAGCGAACAGGGCCGAAGTCAGCTATTTTGTTCAGCACTAACACACCGGTTGGAAAAAGAAGCGAGGTTAAGAATATTTTGGAAGTGGCCAAGGAAACCATGAGTGAACGTTATCTAGGTCTTCCTGTACATGTCGGCAGTTCTAAATTATAGGTGTTTGCATATCTTAAAGACACGGTGTGGGAAAGGATTCAGGGTGGAAAGAAAAGTTTTTATCCTGGGCTGGCAAAGAAATTTTAATTAAGGCTATAGCTCAGGCCATTCCAACTTTTGCCATGGGATGATTTGATATTACCAAATCTCTCTGTGATCAAATTAGTGCCATGATTTGCCGCTACCGGTGGAACCAACAGGAGGGCAAACACAAAATACATTGGGTCAGTTGGGAATTGATGATAAAACCAAAAAAGGATGGGGGTCTCGGCTTGAGTCTGATGCCTGTATTCAAGGGGTTCTAGCTGATATCGATGAAGGTGTAGGTCAGGTGATCATCGAGACTGATGCCATGGCTGTGGTTCAAGCTGTTTACTCGAATGCTTATGAGTTTAGTGCAATGGCACATATTGTGGCTGAACTTCGTTTCATGGCGAATCCAACACAGGTCCCGGACGAGCAACAGGGTGGCGCACGAGCTAGCTACTCTTGGTAGTCTTTGTTCTTTAGATGCTGAACCAATTATGGGTTCAATCTCTTTATGTATTTAGTTTGTAATTGCTGACGATTCAGCATTGTCTGAGTAATGGAAATCGCTATTTCCCCTTAACAAAAGGCCCAATAATTTCCAACGTGGGGATTAGCTATCTATTTTTCTTTTGCTAATTACCAATAATACATCCTTAAGGTATTAATTAATTAATGGAATATCTATCTGCTAGAAATTTTATGGAATGCCTTCCTAATATTGGCCTAAGATTTACCGTTGTTCATTCCAGAGCGCAATCGAGGATAACAATTGTGTTTTTTTTTTACTTTTGGCCATTCTCTAGCATGAATGAATAGGAGTAACTATTGCAAACCTAATGCGCGACGGTCGTGCTCTCATGTGACAGCACGACATCGCTAGTTGTCGCTGCCTCCTTGGACTCAATCCCCAGCAGCAAGCTAACCCGGTGTGGGTACAGGGGGCAGTGGCCGTGGTGGTGGAGGCCACGATTTAGGTGGAACAGGGACGGGGGAGGCTCATCGGCGACCGGTTAGTGAAGACGATAGATTAGCGTAGGACGGGGCACCAAGCGAGATCGCACGATGAGTGTTAGGGTGAGGCGATGCATTACCTATGGCTATGGATGGTGGTGGCAGACGGCAACGGGCGTGGTCTCGTGCTTGTGAGAGCGCAACCGGTCACACGATAACTTTGTCCAGTAACCATTGCTTAACCATTGGCAAATTTCATCGTTGACTCTTGGTTGCGTATTTGGTAATTTATGATAACCATATTGCTAAATTCAAGATTTTAATAGTGACCAAGAAATCGCCTTTTCTACTTCATTTAGGTTGCATTATTTACTACTGCTTCATATACATATTCTACAAAAGAAAAATGAAAACTTTTATAAAAAAAATAAAACATCAAAATCAATCCAGATAAATTAATCCTCGTTTATGTAATTAGTTTTATAATTAGTCTATATTTAATATTTTTAATTAGTAGTATCAAACATAGGCCCCATTCGCTGGTCTGAAACTTGGCTGAAACTGGCTGGTTATGTGAGAGAGAAATACTGTAGCGGCTGAAAGATGCATAGTGATTTGTGAGAGAAACCAGCCGGCTGGTCTGAAAAAATCAGACCAGCGAACGGCGCCATAAAGTTTAAGGTCTGTTCGGTTGGTATTAAAGTAGACTGATAAGTCGATTAAAACCGTTTTATTATAAGAAAAAATACTATAAATTTTAGCTGATAAGCCAACTGATAGCTTCAAACGAACAGACCATTAGTATCAAACACCCCTCTCCATCGGCTTCCTCGGCATGGAAGGAAGCTGGACTGCTGGAGGTGACAAATGAGGTCAACCGGTCAGGGCAGCATGGATGAACACGCCTGCTGTGGTAACGACAAATGACATTGGAGTACGTGCTGGGAAGTCATGTCTAAGCAGCAAAAGCTTCGGCCCTATTCGCTCGAGCTACTTTTCAATTATAAAATAATTTTTTTATAATATTTTAATATAAATATTAATATAAACTAAATTTTAACTTAAGTGAACAGAGTACCCGTACGACTACTAGTACGAGCCTGTGTTTGGTTTGTGTCCCATTTGTGCTGAACCAAAGTTCAACGCTGTTTCTGTTCAAAGAGTTCATAACCAAAGCAGCTTATCACTTGTTCGCTTATCTTATCAGCCAGTCATGATACAGTGATTTCTTTCTCATAATAAAACAGCATCAGCCGACTTTTAAGTCACAAAAACGATCAAGTGAACAGAGTGTATATAGATCCATGGACACAAGGTAAAGGTGAGCAAAATAGATATTTATTACAAGCAACAACTTTTATCTATATACACTTTTAATATTCATGTACATAAAAGTTTTTTTTAATATCTAAAAATCATTAGAAACATGGGTCTCTAGACTAGGCACGATTGCATGAATAATAGTGTGGCACTGTGGACGATACACTTAAATTTGGATATTCTCATGCCATGATATTTAAATATACATGTTGGTATTAAATTAGACAGACTCGCTTATTGCATGTGCTGACGTTCTACGTAACAATATGATTTGATATGATTAATATATCTTAAAAAAATTATATCTTTTTTGCGGTATTAAAAGAAGATAATTTTTATATAAAAATTATAGATCTTGACGAGATCTACAACTTTCTAGTTTTGAGTTTTTTCATTTAAAGTCGTTAAGATGCTCAAAAAAATTAATGACATATTTAGACTTAAGGGTATTTTCGACTTTTCACACCTGCAGTTTGACACCGTTAGAGCTCAATCTAACGGCAGTGGCATGGAGAGCAGAAAAAAGTTAGAGCAGTGACGCTGAAGTCCGCTGAACTTTTCCAGTGGCTCACAGAGGATTACGATCTTTTTTTAATGGCTCACAAGGAATTCTCCCATTACATTTTGTTGGATCATATTTTACAATTCCAGTTTAGGCGTAAGTTCTGTGTTTAATTAGTATAAATTGATTGATCATAAATGAGAATGATCAGGATTACTTAAACAGTTATCTCATCTTTTTTTTTTTTTTATTTTCTATATGTTTTATTTGGTTATCCTTTGAAATTTTCCAATTTGCCTTCCATAAAAATAATCTGGCTATTTTTGTTTTATTTGTTTATTATTTTCATTATTTGAATAATCTTTTTTCCCTTTGATCTAGATCTAACGGTCATGCAATCGAGTGATGCTTAGACGAGAAACACTCGATTTTCCTTTTTTGTCCCAATCTAGTGAGCATGTGGCGTTGAACACCCAGGTGTTAGCTGGCCCTCGAACACCCGACCGTGCTATAGACAGACCCATTTTTTAAATAAATTCCAAATCTAACACTGTTACTTTTTTATTTTTAATCTAACCCACAGTCAGCTGGCAGTCGAGCCGAGTAGGTAACCAAACGCCAGAGCCCCGTACAGTGATCTTCCTGGGAGCTCTCTTCCCCTACCGACGCAGCACCCCGTCCAGGTGCATGTGGCGTCCTCTACCGCCCCGCTCCACAGCACCCGGCCGTCGCCCTCCCGCACGCCCTAAGCCAACTCCTCCCCCGCACGCGCTAAGCCACGGGTGCCGTGAGACACTTCGAACCCGCCGCAGCCCGCAACAAGATATCGTCGCGTCGGCGCTCAGTCTCGTACTCCTCGCCTACAATGGCGGCTCCCTCCAGCTCCTGCGAGGTCGTGGACCTCGCCTTGGCAGCGAGCCGCGACGATGCATCCTCAAAGTTCTTCTTCAGCAGAGACGGCGGCGGTGACTTGTCTTGGCCGGCGGCGGCGGGGATCTCGTCTGCGCTGACCAACCAAAAATCGTTGGTTGCCCTGTGCGGCAAATACGGGGTGCCCAGGGAGTTGAAGCCGGTGTGCGCCGACACCTTGAGGTGCGGGGTGTGCGAGACGCCGCCCGAGGGCTTGGCGCCGAGCCAGTTGGGCCCTAATGCGTGGAAGTGCATGGCGGCGTTCGTGCTGCGCTGCAAGGATGCCGGTGTGCAACCGCTGGTATCTGCCTTCAGATACTTCTTCTCCGTGTACACTCACAAACACCAAGACAAGCCATTGGGGTGGCACTATTTCCAGCCCTGCGCCGGCCGCCGCCTCTTCACCGGCACTCTGCCCACCAAGTACGGCTGGAAATCAAGGTTCTTCTTCCTTAAGTCCCCGCAGGGGATGCCGTGGAAGTGCCCGGTGGCGTGGGGCAAGCCCAGGATGGAGGACGCCCGCACAGTGGAGCTCACGGATGCGGCGATAAACAAGCTGAAGCAGATGCCATGCATTGATCTGAAGCACTTCTTGAGCCTCCACGCCCCGCCCGTTGGCGCTCTCACCCTGCTGCAGCTGCACTCCACGACCGCGCCCATGATGAAACCAGAATCCGCAGCGGCCAGCGCCCAAGCACTCGCTCTTACCTCGCTGCACCAGCTGCACGCGGCATTGGAAGCGGGGGCAAGAGCACCCAGCGCCGCCGACGCTGCCGGCGAGGGTGACGACTCGACGCGGCGGAAGCGCAGGTGTCCGGGTCCGGGCCCGACGTCCGTGACCGTGACACCTCCGATGCCTCAAACCTTTGGGAATGGGAATGACACCATGTGAGACATCGTTTGATGGAGCCTGGGGCAACAGCGAGATCTCCATGCCACCAGGGGATTTGGCCAAGTGACGCTGACGCCCTCTCTATGTACGATGCTATGGTGGCAATTGATGCTGAGGTCCGATTGCAAGATAAGGAGCAGGCGACAGATGCCAAGGCAGCCTAGCAGATCGCCCACCTTCAGGACCAGCTGCAAACAGGCCAACGCCGTGAATGCCAAGTTCATGGACTACTTGGTTGCGGCCAGAGCCGAGAATGCACAGCTCAAGGAGAAGCACGCCTGTGAGATCGCCAAGCTCAATCAGGAACACGCCTCTGAGGTCACCAAGCTCAATCAGGAGCACGCCTCTGAGGCCACCAAGGTCGAGGTTGCCCGCGTGAAGCACGCTGCAGAGGAGGTGGCGGTGGATGTGGTGCAGGATGCAAAGAAGGACATAGTGCTCGCTCTATTCCCGGACCTGGACGCCTCATTGCTGTTCAGATCATGAACCAGTAACATGTCGGCCAGCGGAGAGCCGACAGGATAGCCCCGACATGGCCCACTTTGCCGTACAAGCCAGTCCCTCTAGAACCTTTGTCGGATTCTGGAAGGCCGATAGAATTCTATCGGCGCCCCAAAACTCCGACATGGCCCACTTTGCCGTACAAGCCAGCTCTGGAGCCTTGTCGGCTTCTGGACGGCCGATAAGTTTCTCTCGGCCCCCTAGAAACCAATAGGCATCCAGTCGGCTATCCAGTGATTTGGATATTTTCATGCCATGATATTATAAAACATGTTGGTATTAAATTAGACAGACTCGCTTATTGCATGTGCTGACGTTCTACATGGCTTTGTTGACCCTAAGGGTAGCTCCAATGTGTGTTATAAGCCCGTGCAAAGAGGGGAGAGAAGAAAGCAAAGGAGGTGCAGTACATTGGAGAAATAAGTTTACAAAACATTCAAATTAACCTGACCGAACACTGGTTGCTATTGCACAAAGTGCACCGAACTGCCGAGAATGACAGTGTGCTCAAATGAAAGGACAACATATCAATCCTAATAAAAATAGAAGTCTTGCATAGGCACTGAGAGGGTGAGAGCCTGAGAGGTATAACTAAAGATTGGTCCTCCCAAGTTACACTGATTTCTACAGATTGGTCCAGAGACAACAGCTATGATTCTATATAACAGATTGATTCAGATTGCAGCTATAGCAAAAAAAAATACTCCCTCCATCCATAAAAGAATCATTACTGTCTTTTTTTTTTTTGTTACAGCTCCTTTGCTTTCTTCTCTCACATTTCCAGGAATCTAAACAATTTAAACTTTGACTGAAATTACATAAAAAATATACTAACACTCATGAAACAAAATAAATACCATTAGATTAGGTATAGAATATGTTTTCATAATAAATTTTTTAGATACATAAATGCGTATAATATTTACATAAACTTGGTCAAACTTGAGCTAGTTTGACCAGCACGTTTTCCATAATTGCATTCTTTTGTGGACAATGATAGTATATTGGTTCAGAGACAATAGATTTGTTCAAATTGCAACAGTACCAAAAAAAAGAAATATAAACACTGCTCATATTCAGTACACCAAATAGCATTCCAATTTATTGATTGTTTTTCTTTCTTATACATGTTTCTTGGTTCAACTTCAAACTGTAGAAGAAACAGGTAAAAAGGAAGAAGCTTGGTAAGAAAAAATGTAGTCCATTTACAATAAAAATTATCCACACTGAACTGATGATAAGAGCTTTTATACTGAGGGAACTTTGAAAAATGGTGCGTGAGTAGATGCTTTTATTAGCATACAACTTATTTTGCATACAACTGATGATCAGTGGCGGAAGTAGGGGAGAGGGGGGGGGGCACGGTGCCCCCCTCAAACAGTGAAAAGTTTTTAATATACTCTTGTTAATATTACAGTACAAAGCATATTTTGCCCATTTCCGCCACTGCTGATGATAAGAAATGAATTGATGAATTTGAAAATGTTGTGAATTTAGATCGTTGTATGATTTCTGCATCCGTACGATATTATCTTAGCCGCATCACGAGCAAAAAAAACCTATGAAAGATTAGTTATGGGAACTTGTCTATCGTACACTTGTTTTTATCACTGTTACTAAAATTGATGCTTATCTATACCCCTAAATAAAAAATCACTAAGGTTATCGTCGGACGCCCCGTCCGTTCACGGAGTCCGCCCGGCCTCGGAGACGCATACACAACTGAGTCTCCTACGTTCGCGTGCGAGCTTGAGAAGCAGAAGGAGGTGGGAAACAAAAAAAGAGGAAAGACAACAGATGAGAAAAACACAAGACAGAGAGAGATCTGGTAGGAGGCTTAAACGGGTATAGAAACAAATTTATGGTTCCTGATGCAAAACCTCATAAATATGAGATTAGGTCGAGGAAAAAAAGTAGTGTAAAAAAACTTTTTAGATAAAAATGTTATAAACTCTTAGAGATTACATTCTTTATTCCTTCCAATACTTTTTTAGGAGTTACAAAACTTCATGTTTTTAGGATAAATGGGTATTCAAACAAATTCAGAGTTCCTGATGCAAAATATCATAAATATGAGATCGGGTCGAGGAAAAAAAAGTGGCGCAGAAAAAACTTTTTGGGATAAAAATATTAGAGACTCTTAGAGATAACTTTCTTTATCCCTTTCAATATTTTTTTAGGAGTCGCAAAACTTCATGTTTTTAGGATAAAAATATTAGGTACTCTCGGAGATGCTCAAGGTAGGAAGGTGGAGACTCGAGAGATAAAGGCAAGGCGCGACGTGTGGGTGTGGCTCCATGCCGTGCATGAAACGTGATAAGGTGCAGAGAGAAAATAATAAAGAGAAAAAGATGAAAAATGATAGTATGGACATTTTATACATTTCAACAACTAGGGCAAACTATTTTACCAAACATTTTCTAACAGTATAGGCTAAAGCTAAAAAAACTGATTAATGACATAAGTCGCAATAGTTTGGAATAGAACTGGAGCTCAACTAAACAGGCCTTAATTTGTTCATGTCAAATCAGTTAATCAATATATAGAGAGAGAAAGATGCAATATTTAAATAGTTGTCTCTGCCACCCATCCGAATGCCTCGTCACGGTGAGCTATATGCGTCCCCATGGACATATGTAAAAATTAATAAACCCGGTGCAACGTACGGGCATATATACTAATGGAAACCATGCTAACTAATTATCTCCTTCTGTCTATTAAATAAATAGGTACCCAGTTCCTCAAGAAAAAAAAGGTGGCCACCAAATCTAAAAAAAAAAGTGGCCAATGTCAATCGAAATGACTAACACAAGTCATCGAAAACTGGATAAGATTTTTAATGTTTCCTATTCTATAAATCTGTCAATGTAAGTGTAAAAACAGGCATGTTCCCGTGCAATGCACGGGCGCTTATCTAGTATTATTCAAATATGTCTCAGAATAGCACGATGTTAAAGTTGAGTTAAAATTTCCTCCGTATTTATCTGTCGATTTTGATCCATTACTATCAGACGCTCGAGTGATTCTCTGCCTGCTGTCACTCGATTTTTTTAGACGTCGGATGCAGATCTTGTGCCTCTGGGAATCGCTGCAATCTATCGCTGATCTCACCGCGACGCTGCCCCTGCCCGAAAGAATTTGCATGCATGCATGGACCACTCTGCCCGGGGCCACAAGCCGCGCCCACTTCGATTTGCTGGGCGCAGAACTGCCCCGGACCACATGGTCCCCACCTCGCCCCGTGAAATAGCAGCAGCCGCTGGCCCCACCACAGACCCATGCATTCATGCAGATTTTTTTCTTGCCACTAGTAACAGATTACATTTTGTTGGGTCATATTTTATAATTCCAGTTTATGCGTAAGTTCTGTGTTTAATTAGTATAAATTGATTGTTGGTAAATGAGAATGATCAGGATTACTTAAACAGTTATCTCATCTTTTTTTTGACTTTTTTTTATTTTCTGTATGTTTTATTTGGTTATCCTTTGAAATTTTCCAATTTGCCTTCCATAAAAATAATCTGGTTATTTTTTGTTTTATTTGTTTATTATTTTTATTATTTGAATAATCTTTTTTTTTACTTAAACAGCTCAAGGAGAAGTACGCCTTTGAGATCGCCAAGCTCCAGGACGAGCATCACAAGGCAAGCACCGCACATGCCGAGAAGGTGAAGGCAGAGCGCATGGCCGAAATGGCTAAGCTCCAGGAAAAGCACGCTGCTGAGGTTGCCAAGCTCAACCAGGCGCATGATGCTGCCGTCGCCTGGCTCATGGAGGAGCACGAGGTCGAGGTTGCCCGTGTGAAGCACGCTGCAGAGGAGGTGGCGGTGGATGTGGTGCAGGATGCAAAGAAGGACATAGTGCTGGACCTATTCCCGGACCTGGACGCCTCATTTCTGTTTATATCATGAACCGGTAGCCTATCGGCCAGCGGAGAGCCGACAGGATAGCCCCGACATGGCCCACTTTGCCGTACGAGCCAGTCCCTCTGGAGCCTTGTCGGCTTCTTGAAGGCCGATAGGAAGCGGCATGGCCCACTTTGCCGTACGAGCCAGCTCTGGAGCCTTGTCGGCTTTTGGAAGGCCGATAGGTTTTTCTCGGCACCCCCGAAACCAATAGGCATACAGCATGGTCAGTACAAAGTTTTTGCTGTAAATATAGATCTATGCTTGTTTAGGGTTTTCTGCGCGTCCAATCACAGTTCCCCTTCTTCTTTTTTTTTCTAGCTTATTTGTGATCGTGCATCTTATGTTTATTCATTTTTTTTGTGTGGGTTTCTGTTTTTCTAGAGTATTCTGGTTTTTATATTTAGCTCTGATTACTGTCATAGAGTACATATGTGGTTTATCATCTGCCTACTGGAAATTAGTAGGTGTCAATTGTGATCCACCTTTCAGTTATGAGAAATTACTTTACAACAACATGTTAGGAAATGTGACAGTATAGGATACTGAGCTTTGTAAAAGGAAGTTTTTCCTCTGTTCTCTCTGAAGATGTAAACGATGAATTCCAGTCTATTTAGTGATGTGGTTGAAGTCTATAAGGTTTACCAATCCCATAACTGACAATCTGGCATTTGAGTTTCATTTCACTTGGCTAGATTTGGGAAAAAAGAGAGTAGTCAAATATGTGAGCAGTTTATCATAAAGCCTTGTTGTCACAAACGTAGAGTTGTTTTGGCCGATCCTCTTTTTACTTTCTGACTAACTATTCATCATGTCTTTTTCTGCTGATTCTGATTATAATATGAGTTTTGCTTACAACTTGACTAGATTTGGGTAAAAAAAGAATTGTTAAATATATGAGCAGCTTATCATAAAAGCCTTGTCACAAATATATAGTTGTTTTGGCTGATCCTCTTTTTAGTTACTGGCGGACTATCCATCATGTCTTTATATGTCTTTTTTATTCTAATTATAATTTGAGTTTTACTTAAAATTCATACAGCAAAAGCACTTTCTATTTCTTCTTGTTCCCTTTCAGTCATTTACAATATGATATTAGCTATACGGCCTGTTCGCTGGTTGGTTTCTGGACTGGTTTGGACTGGCTGGTGCTGGTTTATTGTGAAAGGAAAACACTGTTGGCTGGCTGAAACCAACAAGCGAACAGGCTGATGGACCACAATAGTAGTTTGACGGTAGTTTTTTTTATTGAACTATGATATGTGATTAAAGAATTGCCCATACTATAAAGACCTGTGGAGGTTTATAAACCCTTAGCTGCAGATATTTTGGGCTCTAAACCTATAAAATTAAATAATTTTTGGCCCTGCAAATGAAACAGTTAGGAGAAGAGACTGATCCATCGCACTTATGTAACTACATTGTGTCATAACTATCTGTTTATATATCATGAGCTGCACCTTTGAATACTATTCAATTGTATCTTTGAACTGACATGGTTCTTGCAGCCTTCCTGAAGCATTCTGGAAAGAGCTTGATCAAGTGAAGCAGCTGTGGAAGAACAGAAATGATCTGAAAGTTGAGCATGCCGGTGTTGCAGTACTCTTCGGTACGGAGCTGTACGCGCAGTTATGCGCCAGCGAGATTGTTGTGAGCAGGGGTATATAGCTCAATATCAAAGAGTGCTGCAATACAGGCATACTCAACTTTCAGATCATTTCTGTTCTTCACAGCTGCTCCACTTGATCAAGCTCTTTCCAGACTGCTTCATAGTGACTAGGAACCTGCAGATGTGTATAATAGTGATTAAAAAGAAGAGTAGAAACAATAATATGAGAAAAATACTTTATCACACTGTCTTACCACTTCCATGAGAAGGGTTAGGTTTGGAGATTATTGCAATGCCAATGTGTACTGTCTAATATATGCCAATGGTTAAGCAAACTTTATTTGTATAAGAAGCAGGCACTAAAATTCAACTACAAAGAGCAAACAGGTCTGTCCCTTATAACACCATGTTCGCTTGATCGTATCAGCCATGCTTATCAGCATTATACAGTGTTTTCTTTCACAACAAAACAACATCAGCCGGCTTATAAGTCACAGAAACGATCAAGCGAACAGGGTTACTTGCCTAGTATTTGTATTTGTAGAAGAGTCATATAATAATTTATATATGTCTGGAGCAGGGGCGGATCCAGCAGTGGGGCGGGGGGGGGGGCACCCATACCGAATCAGTGCAAATTACTGTAGAGCCCCTATGAATTTTTAGGCAAAGTTCTATAGTGTAGGGGGGCTGAGACTTAAGATCGAGCGGCAGTGTTGTTCAGCCCCCCCTAAAATATTTCCTGGATCCGCCGCTGGTCTGGAGCATGTAGATCTCTCTTGGCTTGAAGTTTTAGTGCTTGTTTAAATCCAAGGTGTAAACTTTTGGGGTGTCATATGGTATGTTCGGATACTAATAAAAAACAAATTATAGAATCCGTCAGTAATCCGCGAGACGACTTTATTAAGCCTAATTAATCCATCATTAGCACATGTGTTACTGTAGCACCATATTGCCAAATCATAGACTAATTAAGCTTAAAAGATTCGTCTCGCAAATTAGTCACAAACTGTACAATTAGTTATTTTTAATCTATATTTAATACTCAATGCATGTGTCCAAACATTCATTGGGCAATGGAGTAAACTTTAGGAAAAGGAACTAAACAAGGCCTTATTCCTTTGGCTAAGCTGCCGTGGAATGCTGCTTTGGATAAGTGTCTTAATTTTCTCAGTTTCCCACAAAGCTTAGCATTGATCAAACTATAGCCATACATTAGTAGACTGATATTTAACTATTCCATTATGAATCAGCTTATTTTTTATTCTATCTTTTTGTGTTTCTGTTTTGCCACAGTATTTTGGTTTTCATATTTAACTCTGATTACAGGCATAGAGTACATATGTGGTTCATCATCCGCTTATTCGAAATTATTAGATGTGTGATTCAGCTCTCGATTATGAGAAATTACTTGATATTGTTTGGTACCGCAATGTTAGAAAAATGTGTGATTCATCTTTTTGTACAAGAACTTACTGATGTGTATTATACTACCTAAAATGAAGTGTAGAAACAAAAATATAAGAAAATGGCTGACCACACTGTCTTACCACATCCAGTAAGAAAGAAGGGTTAAATTTGAAAATTATTGCAATGACAATGTGCACTTTCTGAAAAATGCCTTTTGTTTTTTTTTAGATAATGAAAAATGCCTTTTGTTAAGAAAAATATATCCGCAAGGAGCAAACTGGACTATGTACATTAGTGCAAGTCTTAGTTCATAAAACACCTCACTCTAGTCTTGGTTCACAGACACAAAATGGTAGTCATGAAACCCCTCACTCCAGTCTTAGCTCTGAAGAATTCTGTCGCTTGTAATTTAGTTGCCTAGTGCTTGTATCTGTAAATAAGATAGACGTCATAATAATAATTTACATATGTCTGGAGCATGTAGACCTCTCTCGACTTAAAGTTCTATTACTCTGTCAGAGTTGTTATGGACTGCTGCTTTGGATAACTGTCTTAATTTTCTCTGTTTGCTGCGTAGCCTGGCATTGATCAAACTGAGCTAGTAGACTCATTGTTGACTTTTCAATTATGAATCAGTCCTACATGGAGAAGTTCCTTATTTTGATGATCGCCATCCTTCGTGTTGAGATAGAGTTCCAAGAGTCCAGTAGGAGAATTCCAGTCTCTTCTGAAGGTATGGTGAAGAACCTAGCTACCTGGTCAAAATGATTTTGGCATGACCATGATGTAGCTCTGGAGTGTATGCATGCCTTCAGTTTGTTGTGTTCTCGTCTGCTATATGTAATATATGATGAGATTGACGAGTGAATACCAGTGGTGTAGTGGGCCCAGTGGTCTTTTGCTTTCTAAATGTCGAACTGTTTTAACCTGAATCAGTCACAACTAGATTAGATCCAGGATAAGCAGGATCATCCCTAGCTGAAATGCTCCCCAAACGTTCCTCCTGATCTAGTTCAGTGAAAAAACACTGTAGATGATAATGGAAATGAGGATGGAGGATTGGGATGATGAATGGTGTGCCTGATTATGCAACGCCTGACTCTGGCCTACGTGATGGGTTTTCTGTTTTTGTGGTGCTTGTCCTGATGAAGGCCATGTGAACTGAGGCACTCTACTTAACCTTGTATGGGTTGAAGCCTTTTAGTATGACCCTGTTTAGATCATGGTCAGCTTGTTTGGATACACAAGTAGCTAATAGTTGGTGTGGTTGGGTGCTTTTTGGATCAGCAGCAAAAATATGCATGCTTTGGTGGTTTTGTCTATAGTGTTCTTTCTTTCTTTAATCCTTTATTTACTAAATGGCATGTAGATAGAGATAGGTAGAAGGATAAAATTTCTTTTTTCAATCTAGTAGCTGTTACTATTAGCTGGATTGAGATACTGAACTGTTAGGTGAGAGGATCTAAACACCTCTAATATCATGTCAAGGTGCGCACGTGACTAAAAAAAGATCCATGAGATGAGGGAAGAGATCTCAATGGAATGAGCAGGTAAATATTCAGAAGCAGGGTCTATATAAACGAATGGTCAAAGTGCTTGTCCATCCAGGGTCTATCGCCGCACGGATTACAGGAATGCCTTCAATTTATATATACTTTAGGACCCGCTTGGTAGGACTTTTGCCCCAATGTCATGAAACTGTTTTTTAGCTTCTCCTACCAAGCAGGCCTGGATGAAACAACTTATTCCTAAAAGTTGTTTTTTCAGCTTCTACAGTTTCTCTGGTGAAACTAAAAATACTAGTTTTTCTAGCTCCATGTTATCTTCCTTGAAAAGTTGTTTTACCAAACGTTTTTTTTTCGGCTTTAGCTTCATTGGTGAATCCGTTTTATGGAACTGGAAAAAAAAACTGCTTTCACTGGTAAAGCTAAGTTGCTGTTCTGCTGACGAGGTTCAGTGAATTAAATCAGAAAAAAAGACTGAAAGATCT